AAACAAGAGAAGGGCATAAAAAAATTTATTAAAAAAAAAGAGGAAAAACTTTTTGTGGACGGAAAATGAATGTCTGCCATTAAAAAATTTAATCCATAATTCAATATAAAGATAAATGGGGAGGGGCGAACACTAAAAAATTTGAAAAACGTTACCATTGAAGTACATAGTTAGATTATACAATACATGAACTTGCTTCGAACAATATTAAATTTATTAAAAAATATTCTATGAATATTTTTATGGATGTTTTTGGAAAATCTGAGGCCTATCTTTAAATATAAAGCAATTTTTTCTTAATTAAAAAAGGGAAAAGAATCTCAAATTTTTTCCGCTAGTTTACGTGAAGTAATTATATTCCTCTACCTCAATGATGGTAATGAAATACAAAATAATGTTATAACACGAAACATGAAGGACAACATAGTATTTTCCACCTAGAATTTGCTAGTTAGGAATAATATATTGGATTGTATTAATTTTTTTAAAAAGGTATTTTATTAATATTATATATATGGTACGGTAATTAAAAAAATGCAATGTGAAATCAGTTTAAAAGAAATCACGTGGTGCAATAACTCGAATAGAGTAGTGCAGTAGTAATCGTTAATTAGTGAAAAAATTAAACGTCATTAAAAGTATCTATAAGGTATCCAGGGCACAAATAACTGGCCAAAAGAATTTTTTTTTGTACTTATTCAAAAAATTACTGTATTTTAAATGGTAAAAAAAGGATGTTTATATCTCATCTAGAACTCGAGTCAAAACTTCATTTCAGCCAAAACTTCATTTCATCAGGGGAAGAAGAAAAAAACCTACTTTCTGCAAATTTTTTTTTTTTTACTTTTGAATTTCAAGTTTCTCGGTTCTGTAGTTTTTACACTGCCAAAATGGCAACGGCAGCACAAACGATTTTTTATAAAAGAGAGTTAGAGAGCATTAAACTTCAAGCAATGAAACATAAAACTATAAAAAATAGATTTTTTTTTTCGTGACGAATGAGAAAAAATTTCCTGTCAGAAGTGGGATTCGAACCCACGCCCACATTCGTGGACCAGAACACTCAGCACTCTGCTATCAGAGCAAGGATCGAACCTTGAGTCTGGCGCCTTAGACCGCTCGGCCATCCTGACATGCACAATCTCGGAGTGATTTTAAATATGCGGGAAATTTATTCGCAAAAACTGTGATAAAATATTTATTGTAAAAGCATCCATTATTAAGAAAATAATAATGCTAAAACCATAAAAATTATAATTTTTTTTCCATGAAAATTGAGAAAAATACTTCCTGTTAGAAGTGGGATTCGAATCCACGACCACATTCGTGATCCAAAGCACTTATCCTTAAATGTTTTTTTTCTTATTATTTCAAAGCGATCTATTCAAAATCTATAGAAGATAAATGCATGAAATTCGGAATGCGCATCGTTTAAAAAATTTTTTGTCTGCAGGAAAGATTTAAATTTAAGTTCCAATTTTTTTTAAAAATGATATAAAAAAATATAAAATTTAAATTTCAGAAATTTTTAGTTTTTTCTTTTAAACATTGATAGCAAAAAAAATGCTGCTAACAAAGTAAAATGTAGATATTTTTATTCGAAATCAAAATATTTTAAAACTGAAGCATATAATTTTCAGATAAACCAAATATTTTGTTTAAACTCTTTAAACATTTAAAAAATGAATCTATTAAGATTTGTAAGAATTTTTTGTATACTTTTTGCGTTGTGCAACAGTATTAAAAATATAAAGCAATTCATGAATTTTGGAAAGAATTCCTAAATGTGTTTCTCTACAAATCCCAATCCCGTTATTAAGGTACTTATTTAAATAAAGTCCACAAAATAATAAAGTTATTAAATATTTCTTATGATTTATATCTAAATAGCATATTATATTCAAAATTTAAAAAAAAAATCATAACAATTCAGCTAATTTTATTTAAAAAAATATATTTCTCGTAATTCCTTTACATATTAAACTTTAATCGCTATTCTTTTTATGAAAAAGTCTACATTAATTAATTATCTATTTTTATTCACAGCATTACATGATCTTATAATAAAAAAATATTGATACATTAAACTACTGCATGATTTCGGAAAACATTTCGTTTGATCGTTTGAAGAATATTTTAAAATAAGAATAATATGAAAACCAAGAATGATGTAATATAGTTCTCCTTTCACGTTCTCTATTCATAATTCTCTTTTCTCCTCTTTGTAAAATAACACTCCTCACTCATTAATTTTATTTTATTTTCCTACTAAAATATTTTATTTTTATTTTAGTTTTAGAGTAAGTATCACAATAAAAAATAATTTGTCCTAGATGTGGCGCCGTGGCTTAGTTGGTTAAAGCGCCTGTCTAGTAAACAGGAGATCGTGAGTTCGAATCTCGCCGGTGCCTAGGTGTACAATTTTTTTCAAAATTAAAATTTTAAAGCTGATTCTTTTCATTCTCTTTTTTTTTCCTACTTCTATCATTTTTTATATTTTTTAAACATTTACGATAGTAGGAAGTTTAATTTATTTTACATAACATCGTAACGCTACGTTATTGCCTGAATTCTTTTGAATTTGTTATGTTATATTAACTGTTTATGAATAATTAAAAAAAAAATCAAAAGTTCAATGAAAAGAGCTATTTTTTTCATTTTATACATTCAAATAAAATAATTTTAGACGCAAGAAATATTTACTAATTTTTCTTAATCTTAATAATAAAAATCGTTTAAAAATGTAGCGTAAAAGTAATTTTATCAAGCTCTTGACTTATTTCACTATTTGTTTGATTTAATCTGCAAACAAAAACAAGTTTCATCTTTTTATTTGTCCAGATTTTTTCCTTTTAATTCTACAATGCTTCTATATTTTTATCGTTTTTTTTTCTTCTAATCATGTTTATTTTATTTATTTATTTATATTTTTTTTACTTTATTTTATTTACTTAGTTATTTATTTATTTTATGAAATTCAGTAATAAATAGCGATATAGCTAGATTAAAATAGAAAAATGCCGCTCTATAATTCAAACCATGTTTGCGTCTAGATAATTGAGGTTCAAAATAATTAGTGAATTAACAAACTGTAGTTGTTAATGATATGCATAAATGTGATGGCAAAAATTATAATTCAAACAAATAATCTTTTTTTTCCCCTCATGAAGTTGAATTTAGTTTACTATGGGTTCGAGTAAGAAGAATTGATGTATCAACCAAATTTATTTAATCAATAGAAGAAATGCGAAAACATTGAATAATTAATTAGTTTCTGGAGGTGATTTTTAGGATGAAGAGGATCATTATTAGTAAAGTGCGCTTTTAAGAAAAATTATAATGCGTAAATATGGAGTATTTTTTTTATTGATTTATAGATTTCATTTAAATAACATGGAATATATGGATCATTCGAATAATAAGGGAGTTGCGATTCATGATAGTCAAGACATTATATTGAAAATGTTTTTGGAATTACCCATGTGCAAGATTATTTTAAATTCTATCATAAAAAGGTTTTTAGTTCCTATTTGAATTTTTTTAAGCATTTTGGATCTAGGGATCCAGCTAGCTTTTGAAAATCTTATTTCAATTATCCTTAATTTAAGTTTTTGGAAAAAATATGGAAGAATAAAAGAAAAAAATATCAGCTTTTATGCAGTTGAACTTATGAGCTGTGTTTTACCAGGGAAAGAAGTTTTAAAAATATTATAAATAAATAAAAATAATAAAATAAATAAAAAATATTTTTAAAAAAAATTTTTGTTAAATTTTTTATTGTTAACAGTTATTTTTATTTAAATACTAAAAAAAGTTACAATGTAAAACAAAGTAAAATTAAAGAGAAGAAAAAAAACGAAAAAGAATATCGAAAAAATCAATTAAATAAAATATATGTTTAAGTTTTTTCTGTATATTTTTTTTAATATTTATGGTTCATTTTTAGTTAAAATACATTCAATTTTTGGTTTAAAAATAAAAACTTATTTTATAAAACTAAAAATAAAACCACACGTGCATTTGTTTTAAAAGCATTTGCTTCAATGAAAAAACATTTTTCGGCTAATTCGTTGCATCAGATCCAATAAAAAAGGATTAATATGCTTTAAATACCAAACGCCTTATATAATCTTATGGGCTTGTTTTTTGGGATACCTTGTAAGATGATCAATAATATACCCTGTTATGTAGACTATAATGTACAGTTTGTATTTTTCCGTATAAATGTTTCAGTACTTAAAGTTCTTATTTGTTTAGAAAAAGTACATTTTGTCTGGGGGCGGGGGAGGAACCATTAATTTGAAAACTAATTGTGTTCGATGTATAAAATTCTTCACCAAATTCTTTTCAAGAAATTAAGGAAAATTGATTAACTTAGTTCGAAAATTAAACACTGCATTTAATATTTTGGGTTTGTTTCTTAGAAACTTTGATTAAAGATGATATAGAAATGAATAGAATAATTTTCCGTTGGTAGATTATGAGGTTTCTACCAAGTTCGCATAATCTTCACAATATGAACTTTGCGCAACATAATTTTTCATAACTATTAATTCTAACTAATGCCTATACGAAACGAGGAGAAAAAAAAATGTCCCCTTCTCAATATTTCCGTGACTTTCCAAGCAGTTAAAAGATTTTTTGGTGTTTGAATGTATTTCTTCAAACAATTGCCGTTCTTTATCCAAGATTCCATTGTTTTAGTGTCAGAATTGGGGTATTTGAGAAGTTGACGCCAAAATGAATTGTTCTCTATCGTTTTACTCAATCGTTTAAAGATGGTAATGAAATGGAGAAAAAGAGAAAAATTCCTTAGGTCAAAAACGCTCCCCCACTTTTGGTTTATTGTTGGGTTGACCCTGGATTGTCAACCTATATCACTGATAAACAAGAGTTTAGATCTAAGGAAAAAAAATATTAAATTAATAAAAAAGGGAACAAAAACATTGGGTTGTTGAAGCATGAATGGGATGATTTTTAGGCGTTATTTGGCAAAAATTGGGAAAAATATCGAGTATAAAAGCTGGAAGAAGGTTTGGTAGACTCACAATCGTTTTCAGCAGCTTCTAGCTCTCTTGGATATATTTTCGTTAGCGCCTGTTGTTGGAATAACTAACTTTTAAACATGAATGGAATGGTAAGATTTGTCTTTCTTGTCATAAAAGAAACTCAGCTTTCATTATTTGAGTGACTCTTTTACAAAATTTAGAAAAATTAATGCTTGAGTTTTGATTATTATTTAAGTAGGAAAATGAACATTTTCAATTTTATTATTGTTTGAATAATTCATGTAAAATTAATACAAGCATTTTGATTATTGTTTAAAAATATTTCGAAAATTAATATTTATATAATTTGAATATTTCTTAAGATAGAACGAACAATTAATAATTATGTTTCGTTTATTATCAAAATTAACAATTAATATTGTTTAAGTAAAATGGTATTTACTATAATTAATGTAAACTAAATAATTGAATAATAACTTGGAAATTTCGTAAGATTAATTATAAATTCTTTTTGATTTTTATATTCCATTTATTTTGTATTTAAACTTGCAAAATCATTTTTAAGCAACCAAAATTAATTAAAATACTTAATCTTACTATTATGTATATGATTGTTATATTTTATTTAACAATGGTGCTACAGAGAACGATTTTTAGCTATGAAAAGTCAATTGCTTATGTTATAAAGGCCATTTAATTTGTGATTGAAAAATATCTATGGCAGTGTATAAAAACAAAATCGCATTTATAATCACACAAAATTCATTTATAATAACAATAACCCTAATTAGCGATGCAAATTGTAAGCAGTAGCAATTATCTTAATTGATGAACTTATATAAAAACATGTTAAAGTGATAGTTTGAAAATTTCAAATTTCGGATTTATTCCCAAATTGTAGTTGATATAATCGGGTGGTATAATCGGGTGATATAAATTAACTTTTATTAACCCTCTTTTTGTTTCACTTTTAAAGACAGACATAATCATTTAAGAGAGAAACAAATAAAACGAAAATTTATTCTAACTAGACTTGACGATTAGTATAAAGTTTTGACGAGTTCAAAATGCTTTTAATTGTAAGGGAATATTTTTAAATAGCCTTAAGTACGGCTTTTTAGAATATTTCATAGCTTATTTTTGTTTTACAAATCATTCTGTAAATTCTTCTCTTTTCAATCACATCATAATTAGAAATAAAAAGAATCATTTCAAAACATGATTCTCAATTCCAGGTTGCAATTGTCTGCCTTGTCAGCCTTTTTTGTGCAGCAGCAAGTGCTGGACCCGTTTTACCATATGGATATGGCGCTTACCTTGGAGGATATGCTCCATACAGATCTTATCCTTATGCTGTAGCTCCAGTTGCTGCTGCACCTATTGGTCCCGCACCCGTCGCTGCTGCTCCTGTTGCAGCCCCAGCTCCTGTTGCTGCAGCTCCTGTAGCAGCCGCTGCCGTAGTACCTGATTATTACACCTACGCAACAGCTGCTGCTCTTGGATACCCTGCTGCCGCTGCTACTTTAGGATACCCATACGTTGGAGCATATTCAAGATACCCATACGCCAGACCATATGGAGCTTATGGAGCTTACGCCACCTACCCATACTACAAGAAATGAATACTAAATCAGCAATTTAAGGATACATACGTCTGATCTCAGATTCACTTTCAGGTAAGAATGCAAATTTTTTACTACATAATTTTAGGAAATAGGAGAAGCTGCCTCCTCCTTACATTGTCCAATGTTTTGTTTAAGTATAACTTTATATAATTTTAATAATAAGGTAACTTTATATACAGCTCAAAAAAGTGGCTGAATTAAAATGTAAGCTATCTGAATCTTTGAATCAAGGAAATGCCATATGAGAGTCAACGAAGAAAAAGATATTTTCTTTAAAATAGAAAATTCTTTTAAAACTTTAACGAAGGAAAAAAATTACGTTAAAAGAACAATGAAACCATAAATGTTGTAAAAACTACAAAATAAATGCAGCCAAAGTATTTGTTTCGGTTTATACTGTGTTTACCATATTTAGTTCACAAATATCATCAAATATAAAATCGTCAAACTATAATATTTAAATTCTCAGTTCAAAAGAATATTTTATTTGTTTTCATTGTACAAAAAATAGTTGCAAATGAAGATATTATTTAAACTTCTTATTTTGGTTGGAAATCACTTCTGTATAAAGATATTCCATCAGGTCGATGCTATATTTAACAAGTAAAAAATTGATAACGCTTAGGGTTTTTAGTAGATGTGATTTTGAAAAATGTATTTCGTGTTTCAGTGTTACGTCTTCCAAAGTAAATTAAGTATAGTTGTTTTTAAAGTAAACAAAAATTTTAAACGGCTATTGCGTTTTTCGAGATTTATTTAATCATATTTTTGTCTATACTTTGTATAGACTAATTTGTAAATATATTTTTGTTCGCGAATTCTTTTTGGAAAAACAAATTTAAAAGCAAAATCATTAATCTTATTTTTTGTGGTATAATAGCGAACTCAATTTTTTTAAACAAAGACTGATATTAAAAAAAAAGGAAGAAAATAAATTAAAGATTAATTTTCGCCTTTCAATAGGAATATAAATTCTCAAATTAATAAAAAGTTGAATATTCTACGTTTGAGTCATCTAGATAAAAACTTTTAAACTGCACTGCACTTTAGATTAGCAAAAAATAAATAAATAAAATAAATATGTATATTTTGAAAATTGGAAAATGTCAATGCATTTAACATTAACAATTTGAAAATTTCTGTTTTTTTTATCTAATTTATTAATATTCTTCATAAATAGTGCTAATTTGAAAAATAAATCAATAATAAAATAATAATATCCTAATTTGAGAAAATATCACTATCATTTGAAAAAAAAATGCATTTTAATAGAACCGCAATACATAGGAATCCTAATTGATTAGTAATTAATATAATATGGTTTCTGAACATAATGATTGTTGCGTAATTATTTTTTCCAATGCATAATTGAATAAAATTCATAAATTAAGAGTCGTGAATCACATGCTACAAGTCCTTAGGATTTTTTTTCTGAAGAAGAAGAAAGCAAATGAGCAAATCCTTTTAAAATAAATAATAAATAAACGTTTTTTAAGAAAGGAAAAAAAACTATAAGAACGTATTTCAAATCAAAAAAATTAAAGTTTCATGCAATGAGAATTGTTTAGTACATAAATATAATGTTCATGGAGCAACTCGTTCCGAAATTTCGAAAGAGAAGAATGATTGCAAATTCTGAAACGTAATTTTTTAAATCGTTTTTACTGATGTTACTGATTTTATTGTTGCTGAGATACGCGAAGTCTTACTGATTTTTTTGACTGACTACATTAACTCAATTTATCAATTTTCTTGACAATCCGTAGTGTTTTTTGCAATTTTGCCTCTAAATTAAAGTAATAATTACTCATAATAAGCTTTCCTCTACGAACTTATTAGCCAAAATTTGATATAAATTAATTTCGTAATTTAAATGGGGTATTTTCTTTAATTTTGAAGATCTTTCTATTCACTAAAAGGAGTTCTTTTATTTATTATAATTTAAAAACTATATTAGATAAAATAAAATTAAAAAAAAAAAAATAAGAAGAAAAGTCATGAAGATCGAAGTCAGTTAAATTATGATAAAATGCTAATAGTTTATGTAAAAACTAACAGAAATTTCCTCTAAAAACGGCAATTATTATCCATTGAATGAGGTAATCTTACATTTTCCTTTGAAAAGGTCACACATTAACTAAATATGGAATTAAATATAGAAATTATTTATCTATTGTTAAGTAATATATAAATACTTTTCTACTTGAAACTTGAGCCCGGATAGCTCAGTCGGTAGAGCGTTAGGCTTTTAACCTAACGGTCCAGGGTTCGAGTCCCTGTTCGGGCGGAATTTTTTTTAATATAAATACATCTTTCGAGTTCTGCTTATATTATAAGCATAATTAAACCTTATGTTTAATTATTTTTTCTTAACGATTGCTGCTTCTAAATTTATTAATTTCGTTGTTCAAAAAACATTTTGTATTAGTAACTTTAATAACGAAGCTTCTCTGATAATTTTTTAAAATTGAGAAAAAATTAAAATGATTAATGATTTGACTTTATTATGCATGGTGTTTATTATTATTCATTATGAAACTTAATGAAAATTCTTCTTTGCAGGGATTTGGATAGTTTTTATACAGGTTTTCTACAAGTTATTTCAGAGCGCTGATGAACAATTTTCTGCAAATTGCACAGATTTGTGATAAATTGTTACTAAAAGCTGTAAGTGAACTGGGATCAAATAAAGGATAATTTCATAGCTTTAGATACTGTGTTTATTATTTGATTAAATCTTGTTATGTGTTGTCATTCTCAAAAAAAAAGAAAAAAATGCGTAATGTTATAAATAAGACCTTAAGACTTCCTAAAAATAGTTCATTTTAGAAAATTCAAAATATTTTATTTTTCGTGACTAATGAGAACATGGGCATCGTTTGCGGGGAATAAGGTGTGTATATGTCTCCCTCAGTAATCAAAAATCTCTGAAAATCCCCCTCGAATATTTCAGAAAAATAAAGAAAATTTTTACGAACCATTATCAATCTAAATTCACCAAAGTTAAAAACAAGAAAGTGATAAAAATAATTAATCTTTTTGCACAAATTTATCAGATTCTAGAATTATTTTACATTTTTTTTTAATGTTAAAGAACTATTATAACAGTGTATTTTAATTTCATTTCCCTCAAAAATATGACCCCTTTGACGCCTATGTTAGCATCAAAATATTCTAATATGTGTAAATTAATAATAATAATAATAAAGCCAGTTTCTGAAATTATCGTATTGGGATACAATTACATTAAGAATTGTGAAATGTTTTAAAGAAAGTTATAGAACTTGATTTATATAAAATTTCCGTTTTAAATTATTAAAAATTTTAACAATTTGTATTTTAATATATTTTAAGCAGTTAACTACAAGTTGTCATAGCTTGTTTAAAAATATCAAAAGCAATAAAACGTATTTTAAAAATGCATTTTTCTTTTAATTATGAAAGAAATATTAAAATATTATAATAATGACTGAAAATTACGGTGATACAGTTACAAAAATATAATAATGAAAGTGGAAAGAAATTTTTTATGAAAAATAATTTAACTTTAAATTTTTATAATAAAGGAATTGTGTTTTTTTTTACAATTTCGATAACTGTCAATAGATGGCACTTGATTAATTTCTTTCTTAAGAACTGGTGCTGGCATCTATATATCAATATAAGAACAACACATCAACATTAGTAGATTATTACAAAAACTTCGATAAAATGCAGCGATTTGCATTGATAAAAGCATTAAAAATTAATATATTTATTTGCATAGTTGCTCAAAAAATTTGAATCTAATGGATTAGTTCCTTCTCAATACAGTTTTATTACTTTAAATAAAAAAATTTATTTACATTAAGTTTTTAATACTCAGGACATTTGTTTTGATAAATTAAAAACTAGTGCTACCATCTATATTTTAATATACTAACTAGCTTTTGAAATAATTCTGGGCATTAATGTTGCAGTTAAAAGGAAATTATGTTAAATACAAATATCTAACTCCATGTAAAGTATTGAGAATTAATATTTATTTGCAGAAAAGTTTATAAAATTCAGTATACGACGATCTCTTTTACTTCTTTATGAGATGAAACTTCTTTTATGAAATGTGCGTTTCGCAATACCTGAGAGAATTTTCCTTTTACCCATGAAAAGCGCCATCTATAGGACGTAACAATAAATAAATTTTCGCTTCTAAAAAACAAAAAACTAAAATAAATATTTGATTTGAAATAAAATATCAAATTATTGTACTTGTAACTTAAACAGTAAAAATGTATTTCTGAGAAATTCATGAATTCAGGAAAATTGTTCTCACAAATATATATTTGTAAAAACAAATTTTACTTGGTTCAAATGAGGGAGCGACATCTATATAATTTATACCAAACTAAAAAAGTATAGGAAGAGTTACTGCACTGCAACTATTCTGTTGAATTATTTCTTTAATTATGTTTGTTACATAAAATAAAGTAAGTTTGTGGAACCTACTTAACTAATCGTAAAATGATTAAACAATTGCATGTGTCTGAATATTAAATTATAAAATTATCATACATAAGAGGAATGCCCAAAAAGCAATTATAATTATCAATTTTGAGAAAGTCATAAGCGCTATAATAGCATAGTGTTTACGTGCATATTCCGTTTTTATCTTATAATTTATTCAATTTATTGTTTCATTAACTTATAAGTTGAAATTTTTTTAAACATATGAATTTACCTTTTTTTTTGCCCTATTTCTAAATTAATTTCTTCCATTTAACAATTTGTGTTGCATTCCAAGTGGTTAAAATTTTTACTTTATAAGTAGTTTTGAATTTTACGTAGTGTTTTTTTCAACCATTTTTTATTTTTTTAAAATAACTTCAGATAAGGGCTTTAAAGTATTTAAAATGTATTCGATTTTCTGCAGTTGAAGAATTTTAGTGAAATTTAAATTTGAATATTGTTAAAAAAAAATGGGAATTTTCGTTTAATTTTCATACAACTCATTTTAGCTCAAAAATTTAATTTCTCTCTTACACAACTTCCGATGCAAACTTAGTTCTAGTCTGGGACAAAATAACCATATAAGTTATATCAATATTTTTAGTAGAGATATTTTCCTAAACACCCTAGGTGGAAAAATTGATAGAAAAATCGATATTTATTTATTACTATTCATTTATTTACAGTGTATTAAACCATCATATATAATTTATAAATACAATTTCAATCAGAGCATTATATCTTATTTTCCAAGGCACACGAGATGTAAAAATCAGAAAATTATCGATATTATTTATTACTATTCATTTATTTATTGTGTATTAAATCATTAAACATAATTTAAAATTGTCTGTTTAAAAACTAAATTTCAATCAGAGCATTATGTCATGCGTTACATGCAATTATAATCGGACAAGTCGACTGGCCAATTATTGTAAATTTTCATTTGTTGCCAATGACGTGAAAGTACAAGTTTATTTTAGTACAATTATCTCTTTTTATTATCTGGAATCAATTTATTATTATCTTTTATTATTATCTAGAATCATCGAATAACAATCACTATCAATCATTTTCCGGAATAGGTCATTACTAAGGCTAAAAGAATAATCATTTCTTATATTGGCTGTCATAGCAATCACAAGGAATTCCTTGTAAAATGCTACTAAAGAAAGAAATCTCCAGAAAGAAATAAGTACGAATCAACTTGTAAAACATTGAAAAAGTGTACTAATCTGTTTAATTAGTGGGAAAAAGTAATTTTTTATGAATATAATTATTATTTTAGTTATTTCTCTCGAAAGATTACTTGTGGATAGCGACAGGAAAAAACGATTGAAATTCTCATTTATCACCAAACTCAAGTAAAAGTGGTCATAAGAACGTCCTAAATAATAAAATATATTAATAAGAAAACAAATTTGGTAATTTGAACCGATGGTCAAGCTTACGCTAGCCCCTAGTACAAAAAATGACTAAGATTTGTCATCGAATTACTGCTGACGATTTGAATCTATTAGTTCTATGACAAAATAATAGGTTGTCTAGCAAAAATCTTAAAAGTACTTATAGAGATTATAAAGGAAAAGGAAGTATTAAGTATTGAATTTTATGTTGAAAAACAGGTGCAAGGACAAAAATATCATCAACAAAAATATATTAAAAAAATATTGGACCCAGTACATTTTCTATGGAAATTGGGTCCCCTCTATTTGGCTGAAATTTTGAAGTTCGATATTCAGTGTCGACGCCAATTAAATTGAGATTTTTTACCAATTGTGTTCTAGAGCAGTTTTTCCCAACCTTTTTTGTGCCATGCCCCACCTAAGCCTTTCTAAAATTCTTATGCCCCCCATGTAACATATACATAATTTTTAATATTAAAAAATTGAATTCTTAAGAAAATTAAATGATAGGTTTTAGAAAAAAATCACTAGGAAATTGTTAACGAAACACAGTAAGTAAATTTTCAAAACATAAATTCAAATTCGAAATAATTTTAATATAATTTTTAATATAATCAAATTCGAAATAATTTTAAGATTTTTCTGTAATAATTCAATATTTTTATTTATTGAGATCCTTAAGCTTGATGCTTGCTGCACAGAGATTTTATGTTCCGATTTAGTTAGCTTCAGTCTCAAGTCTCCCATTTTAAATTACGTCCAGGCGATTTCTTTTTTTTTACCTATAAATCATTTATAGAACTAAATCTATATTCAGCTAAATATGGGGATCGAAACTGTAACAATAGTTTTCTTGCACATTTGGTTGAATTTGTGTATTTGATTTCTGTTTCCTCACAAAGTCATGCCTTCACTACTTTTATATTAAATAAAGTTTTAAGTGACTCATCATTTTGCATTTCTAGATACTGCATATTTGACATATATCAGACTAATCCACTAACATTGACTGCATCATCCGTGTTGGAAAATCAATTTGTTTTAAATCAGAAAATATTTCTTGTAAATCAGCAGAAAGAATTTTCAGATGATCGACAATAACAAGTAAAGCGGTATCATTTACTTCACATTTTTGGAGTCAATGAAACTGTTCAAAGTTTTTGTTGTTAATATATTTCTGACATAACTCAATAAGGGTAATGAAACCAAATATCTTCGCTTTTGCATCAAACAGAGCTTCATTTGTTCCTTGAAGTTGCTCATTTAGTATATTTAGTTTTTCAAAAATAATAACTGACAAATACTTTACGATCGACTGTTAACAGATACTTCATTTCAGGTTTGTCGCCTAAAAAATCGCTAAGTCACGTAATATTTATTGGCCTCAATTATTTAAGAATTTGCTTTTTTCTTTCAATTTTGGCACCGAAATCTAACATAGCACTTAAATGGCCCAGAGCAAAAGGGTTAAACTCGTGTCCAGTCAATTTTCGAATTGCCCCCCTTTACAATCAAATTGCCCTCCAGCGGGGCGAGGGCCCCACGTTGGGAAACACTGTTCTAGAGTTTTTCTAACTCTATGTCTAAATTCACGAAGGTAAAACAAAGCTAAATACTTCGAAATTAAAATTAAATTATTTTGAGAAAAAGAATATAAATAGCATTGAGTGGCAGTACTTGAAGAATAATTTTCAATTAATGTTTTGCTTCAGATAAAATTAAAAATGTGTCTTTAAAGTGTCTTTAAAACTTAAATTCTTTAATGCAGTTAAGTTATCAAATATGATTGCGTCCATATACATTTGAGTGATAATAAATT